TGGAAAAGAGCTAACCAGTGGTGGTCAAACCAAAACATGTCACAAGTCAATGAAATCTACAACAGTTAGTTTCAGCTAGCCACGTAGGGAGGTGTAGACTTCTTGGCTGGTTGGGGTCCTCGGGACGGTAAAAACCAATGGTTGGAAACAATTGGTGATATGGCTCAAAATCGTTCTCAATGGCTGGCTCAGATGCATTCACTCCTTGTGACTTATGATTTCCAATGAAACTACATTGTTCTTCGTTACTTTTACATAGATGGTGTGTAGCGACTTGAACTGGCGCATATCGGTGCAAAGTTCTATGTCGAAAACGGATACTTGGAAAGTGATCTTAAGCGAAATCGCAAGACATCTTAACTGACATAAGATATACAGTGGAAATTAGTCAGGTTTTCAAAATAATCAATACACAAAGAAAATCATAGTTACTTCAGTTTTACACAAGGCATTGGTATTAAAAGACTTCTACCAAACTCTGTATGCAGAAAGGTAGTGTGACTAATCTCTCACTACCCTGCCTGGTAACCAACCGTAACTGTTTTGTTCTGTTGCATAATATTTCACTTAATTTTGATTTTCACCTAGTGAGTTGGACTTACTATTAAAAGTTTCCAAATCTAATTAATTGCATTTGTCTGTCTAATAATTTTACTTTACTATTCACTCCCATTCTCGTGAACTCTCCACAACTATATTTTTTTATTTCTTTGCGTTTCCAGTGGAACATAGGGCGCCTTCAAGCTAGAGACTTGAAGTTTCGGTCCCAGTGGTGTTTATTTTTATGGCATGGGGTTGGTAGCTTCATGCTGAACCTTTCCTGTTTGTTATTACTATTGTTCCCTTTGGTTCTTAGTGGAACATAGGGCTTCAACTCCACGTCTCCACTTGCTTCTGTCTTCCTTCTGTTGTACTTTTCACCTGAATCCATTTTAGTTCATACTCTTTCAACTCCTCTTCACACGATCTCCTCCATGTCACCCTTAGACACGTCCCACTCGCCACTTCCCTTTTCAAGTTCCACTCGAGCAATGGTCTGACGCGCGCGAGATGTAACCCGAGCGCGATGTCATCCAGCGGCCTCCTCAGCGAGCGAGTGTCCAATCCACTTTTTCCAACTGCAAATTTGTTGTTTGGTGATTGGTTCTTGTTTTGTTTGTTCCCATAGTTTCTTGTTGGTGATTCTTTCCGGCCCAGCCATCTGACCTTCAGTATAGGGCGATAGTTGACAGTTGTTTATGATAAAAGTCTGCAATAGCTTGTTGGAAATATTCCTTGTGATCCGTCCACCAAGTTTCTGATCCGTATACGAGAACTGACTGACTTGACGTGTTTGTATTGAAAATCCGACTGGATTTTATTGTTGATGCTGAGTGACGAAGATTTCGAGATTGATTTCAGGTTGATGAATGTGTTTCTCACCTTCCCGATTCTCGCTCGATTCGACATCCTCATCCGTTCCTCCTGTAGTTGAGACAATGCTCCCTAGTTAAGATAAGTGAATGAAGTAACTAGCCTCTTTCAAATCCCTCCCGTTGTGATGGTGATTGGCGCTGGATGTTGTTGTTGGTGGTTGGTTATTTTCACAACATCCGCGTCTTGTCTATGTTCACTTGGAGTCCTGTCTTCACTGTCTACTTCTTCAACCAGTTTGTCGGTTTTCGCTTGTAAGTCTTCGATTTTGTGTGACATCAAACATAAATCCCTGTTTACCAGTCCTATTATTAGCTTATAGAGGTAAAAGTGTGTGTCGGACCGGAATCAAACCTCAAATAACATGCCTGGTTGGTGAGCATTCTACCGCTGTGCCATCAATGTACAATTGGCAGGAAGCCTTGGACCTAGTTTGCTTGCTAGTTGGCACTCGTCAGCAAGGTGTATTTGCGAACTTGAAGGAACTCACATTCCTTCTAAGACTCGATCCTGCGTCCCTCAGTGCTGCAGTCAGAGACGTTACCACTGAGCTATTCTAATTCCCACCATGACATTTATGTATATATATATTATTACTCCCTTGGATTCCGAGTAGAAAGTGGGGGGCTTTAACAGCACTTCTTCACTTTTTTTTGTTTTCTGCTGTTCTCTTCATCTGGGTTCACGATTGCCCACAATCCCTCACCTGCTTCCACATTGGTTCGTTTATTATCACACAGTGAAACAGTATTATTTACTGGATGTCGTTTCGAACAAAATCTATTGCTGTTCATAATCATATCAATCGTAATCACACGACTTTGGAACTTGAGTTTTATAGTTTTCTTTGTCTTCTCCTATTTGTCATAGGGTTAGTAGAATTTTCCAGATATCCGGCTGGACAGGTGTTAAATCATTCCTATTACACGTATTTGCAGTTGATTCGATAAACAAAGCTTCTGTTATCAATCTTTCCCTCCAACCTGCTGTTACATTAGATCCTATTGTATGGTTGTGTGTAACTGCATGTAGTGCTATGGTTGAACTCTTCTCTAGATTTCTTATTTAGGTCAACCAATCTAGATTTTGCTGCTAGGTTTTTATGTTCGGCTAGTCTGGCTGACTGACCCTTTTCTACTACTTTGACCTCACTGACAATTATTCCAGCAGCGTAATAGATAAACTAAATTGTTTTGTTTTAAAGAATTCATAGGATCCTTTAACCGACAAAACTTGTTTCTAATTGAGTTTGTGGTTGGTTTGAATGCCAGTCACTTTTATTCCTGCCTTGTTAATAATTCTGCGTAAGGCTTCCGAGGTTCCTTCCTTGTATGGAATTATTTCTGATGATTTAGATTGTTGGTGTCGTCATTAATATTATTATTATCACTATCGCTACTATCATTATTTATTTTATTTTTACATTTCCTTACATACTTTCTGACTAATTTTTTCAGGGTAGTTATTAAATTTCAAGGCTTCTTTTATGTGTATCACTTCCTCTCTTAGATTTTTGTTATGTACTCGTCGAGTAGTTAATAGTCCTGACGCGGAAAGAGGGAAATCAGAAGACCATCAGGATTACGATGATACTTGTATTTTCCAGACAAGGAAAATAAATGTCACACAAGTGTGTGAGTAGAAGGGTACTTAAATGTACGAAAAAGTGTGTGAACAAGAACTGTCAAGGGTCTAATACAAAAGTTTATATGAAAATGGCTAATACACATGAACCAATAAGATAACGTCTTACCATGATTGGTTGTAATGTAATGTGATAACAAGGTCATACATTGTTTATTTAGTTAGTGGACAGACAAAAGCATAATGCCAGTTATAGTGGAATATCGATCCATATACACATAGCAAAATATAACAGACTGTCAAAACAAAACACACATCATGTGGGTACATATCAATTTTCCTTGGTACTACTTAGTTTTTGTGCTCTGTCACTTCAACATTTCACCAATCCTATATTTACTGACATAAGATTGGATGATCGGAAATCAAAATATCTGTTTGGCTGTGTGGGTTTGCTATAAACACACTAGCGTGTTTAATTTCCCATCTTCTTTCCTTTTCACGTTGCAGTCCAACATTTGAACTCCCCCGCCACCTGACTTTCCAATTCATAAGTGAACTGAATTGCCTCTACCTTCGAGTTGATGTGTTCGAAAAATCTATCTATACCTTGTGTTCTAAGTACAGTTCGCACCTCCTTCTCCCACCATCTCCTCAATACCACTCTCACATTGACGACTCACTTGTCGCTTCTCATTTGAGTTCCATACGAACGATGGCCTGCATTCTACGGATATCATTCGACGGTTTTTCAATGTATGCCCAATCCATCTCCACCATATTATGTATACATTTACTCTGTTGTTCAATCTGGTATTCTGACTGTAGTCAGTCCTTGTTGCTTAGTAAAATCTGTACTCCGCCTCTCCTCGGTCCAATGATACTATAAATAGTTAGTCTGACGACACACTAACTAATTTGTCTACTTACGTTATTTTTTTGGAACTATGTTACTTATACTTTCTACCCATAACACAACTTGACTCTGGAGAGAAGTATGTTCAGAAATATATACGGTGAGAGCTGGATGCGAACAAGCCCAAATTGTAAACAACAATTCACGTGAGAGTATTACGTTCAGAATCAGAGCTATGAGAAAAGAGCAATAACATAGCTTAACCTTGAGGAACTCACCAACCAATCACAGAAGACTTAATGTGTGCAGATATGATTCGCACATATATGGCTTAACTTTCTAAGAAATGGTCACAAGCAGTACACAATAACCTTCAACAAGAAAACAGCCAATCAGAAGACGTTGCGCTTCTCTGTTAAGAATAACGAATAATAATAATGTACATAAAAATCTATAAATATTTCTTGATTTTCTCAATAAAATTTTGTATTATACAGGATTACTCACACTACCACAACAAACACTGCATTAGTGCTGACAATAAAAAAACACAACCTGAAATGTTTATTTTATGATTGTTTAGTGTAGTTCAGTCAAATTAACTGATCATCTTGGCTATAAACATTCTTAAGAACATTTCATAACTTCTTGTATGATTATGGCTGTTACTGTTCACCACGCATACACAGATCATAGCTTCCAGTACCAAATACTGAAATATTTTTTCATTATTGGTGTTTATCTTCCTTCTACTTGGTATTTTTATTTGCATTTTTTGTTATTTTTTGTGTTTCTTTTTGGTTTTTTTTTATATTTATTTTTTGTAATACTCCTTTTAAATGTCCGATGAAATTAGATGCAATATTGTAGATATGTGCTGAAAATTCCACACTGTACCACAAGTACTGTTTCTGGAATAAAAGCGAAATTATTAAAATTAAACGATTTGTTGCCTGGCCCTCGTCTTCTGTCGTTACAAATATACTGATGATTAGAGTACCTATGATAGCCCTGATTGACCAACTACACACCTCAAATTTTACGTTGAATAGGTTGTCTAGAAAGACAGTGGAAGCTTCCCAATTAAAAATCCACCCAATTCCGAGAGAAGACAACCACGTGAAGGAGAAAAAAAACATCCACCTAAGCTACAATTATCCCTTTTGTTTTTCTTTTTAGTTAGTTTAACACCAAACTATACACAAATTTAGAGGAAAAAAAGTGATATATTAAACTTCAAAGTATACAAGTTATGTTTTATACAAAAATATATATAAACTGCTTCATTTTATAAAAATGCAGACAGGAGGAGGAGCAGGACGACGACGACGACCACGCCAATGGCGGCTTACTAGTAGTGAGTAACGTCTTCATACCGATTTCCACCAAAAAACTAACAGAAGACAACGATGCAATTGTTATTTAGTTTCACTTGACTCAACTGACATATCTCGATGATTATTGTCAGTGTGTGAGTGTGTTCCACTCTGACGTTTTCTGGTTTTCTTCATACCTTTGACTAGATCACGTTGCCAAACTTCTTCAACTAATCGATAAATAGCCATAGATGCACAGGCATCTTCAATTGAACAATGCTCACCATCTTGAATGCTTACACCTAGAGGGGGTGGGGGTGGGGCAGATAAAAAATGAGTTGAAATATTATGAAGAGTAAAGCCAAAAACTTGGCCAGTGCGTTACAAAAAAAAACATTTTCAACAGACTACCAGAGACTTTCATCAATAGCCACCGCCTTCGCTGATTCTATATCGAAGATCAGATGGCCAGCCATAAAGAATTAGCAACAAGGAATTATGGAAAAAAAACCAACCAAGAACCTATCGCTCAAAAAGTATTCCGAGGAAAATTTAGATGGATCAGATAGACACATTGAGGAGACCCTTCTCGCGCCAGGCAATTGTTCGAGTGGAACCCGGATGTCAAACGATGAGTCGGGCGTTGGTGAGAGGGGGACATAAGGAGGTGGTGTGATGAGGAAACGAAAGTCTATAGGCAGTTTTGGAGCCGGCTATTGACCAAAGGATGTGTGTACTGCTCAGCAGTCCACTCCGTCCCCCTTTATGGCCGTGAGACCTGGTCATTGAAAGTGGAAGACATGAAAAGCCTGACTGGCTAGCTGTCTTTGACCATAGATGCCTGCTTTCTATCTGTAGTGTGAAGTGGTATCCTAGGGTGGGCAATATTGAGGATAGGCGTTGAGTGCTAGGTAAAGAGGGCGAATCAATCGACAAGGTTGTGAAGTCACATCGATCGAGATGATTAGGATATATGTTGCGCATGCATACCTAGCCGTCGCCTTTGTCAACCGACAGTCAATGTTAGCTGATATAGGGTCAGGCTGCGAAAGAGCTAACGGTGGTCAAACCAAAACATGGCAGCAGTCGATGAAATCCACAACAGTTGGTTTGAGTCAGCTACAGAGGGAGGTGTAAACTGGCTTCCTGGTTGGGTAGGTGCCTCGGGAGGTAAACACCAATGGCGGCTAGCGACAATAAGTGATATGGCTCGAAACCATCGTTCTCAATGGCTGATGCAGATGCATCCACTCCTTGTGACTTATAACATCCAATAAATCTATATTGTTCTTCGATATTACTACTCTCTTTGCCTCATATCTCTATTTACTGTCTCTGTTTTGCGTTTCTTTTTACTTTTTTCTCTTGCTTCGTGTGATGAGTAAAGTGTGGCAACTCGAACTGCTGCACATTGGTGCAAAGTTCTATGTTGAAAACAGTCAGTCAGGAACCAGCTAACCAGGACCGCAGAAAACAGGACAAAGTGGAGATGTGCAGCTGAGACCCCATGTTCCACTCGGAACCCAAGGGAATTATGATCACCGATTGTATTTATAGAACGAATAAAGTCTGCTTGGAAATAACAAAGATGGTGAGACAAACTGAATTTATAAATGATACCAAATAGACACAAGGTACGCAGATGGACAGTTTGCGAGGACATTTACAATAATCGATAGATAAAACAACAGTTCAAATCTTAAATCCCGTTTTCTCAGGCTTTTGTAATACAATATTCAAGAGAGCAAGGACTCATTGCAGCACTTCCACCTTAAGGAAAATTGAAGAAAATTATCTCATGGACGTCTTCCAAAAGAATGGATATCCACGGAATTTCATCAAAAAACATATACCTCCAAGCCAACCTACCAAAGCAAAAGCCACCAAGGAAAACACAAAGAAAATCGCCTTACCATACATAAAGGATATCTCAGAAATCACTACAAGACTCTTCAAACCTTTAGGAATTGACGTCGTACACAAACCAACAAAGTCGCTGCACTCAATTCTATGTCAACCAAAAGACTCAACAGCGAAAGAAGATAAAACCAACATCATCTACAAAATAAATTGCAGCAACTGCGAAAAACACTACATTGGCCAAAGTGGACGTCCCCTTCGTCTTCGTATCCACGAACATAAGTTAGCCGTCAAAAGACATGATATCCACTCCCTCGCTCATATCACTACATACAGACAACCACGGACATCAATTCGACTGGGACAACGTTCAAATATTAGACAGCGGAAACAACAAGAATGCTAGAGAATCTGTAGAAGACTGCTTGGCATTCCAGTGAATCGTCAATCAATAGACACATCGACATAGTTAAAATTTATCAACCGATAAGAAGGAAACTTCACACACAAAGGTTCAAAGTTCAAGTCAAAGAAACAGTCAGTTCCAATACAAGTAACCTAGAAGATGTAAAAACACACATAAACAACCAATCACGTCCAAGGTCATCAGGAGAGATGATTAATAAACTCGTGGAGAAATCCAAAAACTCACTTCAAATTGAAGATGTCACTCAGTAGGGTGATGAAAGCTTCGCAAATTGACCATCCAGCTCAGAGAACAAAACCACATCAAAATCATCCACCTGAGCTACAAATCTTCTCTATCATATCTAATACAATATCTAAAACTGTATTTTTGTCCACGAGGAATATGCTATGGGATTTCGATTACTTTGGTAACATCAGACTGTAGCTGTTTGGCTATTCACAATTACATCATATCTTCCTATTTCGTTCAAATAATTTTTACAGTAGACTGAATAACCAGCAGTAGTTCAAACTGACACAGCTCATGTAACACACAAAGATAGAGGGATGCAAATGTGCGGAGTAAGCCGAATGAACAGAAACGTATAGGAGAAAGAATGCTTACATCGAGAAACATGAGAAACTTGAAAATTCCCATTCAGTCATAGAAAAGAAAAGGTGTTCAGCAAAGAGTTACTCTTTTCGGCAATATCATTCTCAAGCTGTACAAATCGTAAATTTACAGTAATTTGTCTTGGCAACAAAAGGAATATTTCTAAAGATGTGTCAATGCAATTGTTAATTTTTGACAAACAAATTACGTAATTTAGAAGGCGTTAGTCGGTTAGAAACTGAAATAAAGTTACAAAAGTAGGTTGGGTGACGTAATCTAATTGATAGGGTTCAATGAAAAAATGAATGAGAGTTAAGTTAATAAGCTGAGTAGAATTCACTTAAAAATAAACGAAAATCGAGTTAGCAACAGTCGTCATGAGCGTAGAGATTTAATAGAGGGTGGAGGAACATGAGGAACTAATAGATCTGAGAGATTATTTGGAGTGAATTAATCTCTGCCAGTGACGGCAGTTTTCAGGCAGATAAGCAAAATATTTGGGAACTGTGGGTAGAGTATAACTCCATTATGGATAAGATTTTATTTTGATAAATCACACAGTGTTGTTATACAGTTATATTAACTGATGACGTTTCGAGCACAAACTATTGCCTCTCATAATCATATCAAGTTACATATATATATATATATATATATATATATATATACATGTGTGGAATTAACTAGATACTGGAATAAAAATCAATGTAGGATAATGTACATTCAGAAATAATAATATGAGTGTCATTGATCAATTTGTGCGTCGGTGGCACAGCGGTTAGGACGCTCGCCGATCATGCACATGGTTCGGGGTCCGATCCCCGGCCACAGACGCACTCCTTTACCTCGCTAAGCCAGAAATAATGCTGGTAAAGAGGAAAGGTTGGGCATCATGAGGCTGGCTAGCAACCCAATCCTGTAAAAATAAACACTACTACAGAAACTTCAAGCCTCTAGCTTGAAGGCCTATGTTCCACTGGGAATGTAAAGGAAAAATTATTATTATTATTTATTTATTGATCAGTTACAATCAGATGGAAGATAAGACGAGTTTTTTTATAGTCAGTAGGCTATAGTAGGCTAAAAGGCCTGGTGAACCCAATTAGACAAAATAATATAATTTACAAAATACCCTGCAATGACTGTGAGTTGGTCAACTACATAGGTCAAACTAGTAGATCGGGGGTAATCAGATTGGCGGAACATAAGAATTTAGCTAAGGTTAAGAATGGTTGACCCCGAGAACATAAGTAATTTAAAAAACGCCACAGCAATCACACTGCATGCATTAACACACAATCACACAATAGGGTGGGTGGGAGAGAGTTAAAATTCTTAAAAGTAATCTAGGTGTGTGGAGACACAGAGAGGTTGATTACTGAATCCTTGTTCATTGAGTGTACACCCAACACATGCAACAGAAATGACTCAATGCAAATACCACAAATATGGAAGATATTATCACCACCAGTCAAATTAGAAGACCATAATAAATAATCTCAAATTTCTATTTCAGTTCAAACATATCACATTGTGCGTCGGTAGCACCATGGTTAGGACTCTCGGCGACCATGCACATGGTCCGGGGTTCGAGCCCCTGCTGACGCACATCTGATATCTATGGTCGGCCTGAGAAATTTGGGCTACCGATATCACATACTGAAAATTGCATACATGTACCAAAAAATACGGTGTGGAATCAAGCTGTAATAAAAAATAAATAATAAAAAATTCAAACAAGTTACTTATTACGACTATAAAAACACTCGTCTTATCTCCCCTCTGATTGTAATTGGTCAATAACACTCATATTAATATTTCTGAATGTACATTATCCTATATTGATTTTTATCCAAATATCTACTCAATTCCACACATGTATATAGATGAAGTAAAAAGTTGTTTGAGTAACTTGATATGATTATAAGCGGCAATAGCTTGGGATAGAAACGTCATCAGTGAATATTACTGTATAACACTGTGTGATTTATCGAAATAAATTCTTATCCATTGTGGAGTTTTCAGTTATAACAATGAAAGTCCCCAACCATCTGTTACTGCGATCTCAGGGACTTTAACCAGATAGTCTACACCTTTCAACATGGATGGATCCGATAAACGACCTGGTACAGCAAAGGGTGGATGACCTTAGCTCTTTTTCTCTTTCTCTGTCCAAACGTACTCATATGGCCACACGTTTACAGCCACTATCAATCAGAAAAGTCATATTTACAGCCTTCAAGTGGAAGGAGTAGGGGGGAGGGGAAGAATGTTTATCACAAATGTGAAAGAGTGAATACGAATGTCGAGTGCTTACAACCAGATTAACGGACATACTCGTTTACTTAGAGGAACTAGAAAACCCTAACACTAAATCTACAGTGTATATCAATATCGAAATTCAAATGGATTGGATGATAT